CATTGAAGTCACCTAATGCATACATGGTTTTTGAATGTTATCAATAATACGACATAAGTCTCTCCAAAGGTTGATTTGAAACTAAGATTGGGGACTAGTGTGGACCACATTCATATACCACACCTTCTTGTTGTATTTGATATGAAGGTGGACATATTGGTTTGATGACTTCACCACATCCACCTGAAAATAGAATGAGTCCTAAATGCACCAAATTCCTCCTAACTACCCTCGACCATCAACTACAAAGGAGTTGTCAAGAGAATATTTTTTAACAATAATATTTGCCCAACTCCACTCGAGTGGGTTTTCAAAAGACAAAGCAACCTAATATTATATTCTATAATTAAATCATTCATTAGGGGAATAAAACATTTCTCTTATACACCTTTATAATTCCATGACATGACATTCATTGAGACAATTTAGGAGTTTTGGGTTTAGACACTTGATTGTTTACTTATTGATAATCTACAACATTACCATGTGCATCCCTAGATTTAGAAGTCAAACTTGATAAGGATGAAAAATTAGGATCTACATGTAGCTTAAGGGCTTTTGCAAATGCTCTCATTTCTTCATTTGGGAAGGAGACAGTTAGCGGTTCGATGCGAAGTAGCCTTGGTTATTATCATTAAATGATTGTAGTCCATCGATGATAAACTTAGTATTTTCTTCTTGTGACATAGTTGCCTCAAGTTTGTATTGATTCAATTGACTATTCTTGAGCATATAATCTTTAGACATGTAACACACTTTCTTTATGCCAGTATCAAAGTCATAATAATTAGACAAACGATCGTTTCTCAAATTGAAATTGGAGAATCTAAACTAAATTAAAATGTATTACATAAAATAATATATTAATATATATATATATATATATACATAAAATAACTTTTGAGTGATAAATAATTAATAATTATTAGCAATAATATTTATAATTACTAGTAATTAGTAATTATTAATAATAACAAAAATTTTACATTCAATAAGAATTTTTATATATTTGTTTATTTTAATTATTAAAAATATATGTTTTGATAAAAATATAATATATAAATAATATTCATTTTCTTCCTCTTATTTCAATATATTTGAAAGGAGTCTTGAAAAAAATATTATTTTGTAAAAAATTTATACTAATGTGTTGGTGGAAAATATATTTTTCTTGATACATTTGTTTATTTTAATTATGAAAATATTTTTGTTCAATTTTTTCTTTTAATTTTGATATATTTATTTTTTAATTTATTTATAATAACAATTTATTTTAAACTATTGTGAAAATTTAATAATTATTACTAATTATTAAAATATCTTAATCTAATTTTTTTCTTTAATTTTAATATATTTGTTTTGATATAATATATGTAAAAATGTAAATGATTACTAATTATTAAAATATTTTAATTCAAAATTTTTCTTTAATTTTGATATATAATATGTGAAAATTCTAGTAGTTATTGATATTGATTATATATATTTGTTGAAAAATTAATTAATTTTATATTATTTTATTTTATTTTTATAATATACATTTATATAAAAATGTTTTAGAAGGAGTTTTGGAGAAAATGGTTTATTTATTTTTAATTATTAAAATATATGTTTTGATAAAAAATATAATATTTAAATAATTTTCTTCTTTTTATTTCAATATATTTGAAGGGAGCTTTGAAAAAATATTATTTCGTTAAAAAAATTATCTTAATGTATTAATTTTTCTTGATATATTTTTTTGTTTTAATTATGAAAATATTTTTATCCAAAGTTTTCTTTTAATTTCGATATATTTATTTTATTTATTTTTAATAGCAATTTATTTTATATTATTGTGAAAATTTAATCATGATTACTGATTATTAAAATATCTTAATCTAAATTTTTTCTTTAATTTTTAATGTATTTGTTTTCATAAAATATGTACAAATTGTAAATAATTATTAATTATTAAAATATTTTAATCCAAAATTTTTCTTTAATTTTGATAGATTTGTTTTGATATAATATGTGCAAAACGTAGTAATTATTAGTATTGATTTTATACGTTTCTTTTGGAAAAATTAATTAATTCTGTATTCTTTTATTTTTATAATAAATATTTATTTAAAAAGATTTTAGAAGGAATTTTGGAGAAAAAAAAGTTGAGAGTTTTGTAAGAAAGAAAGTTGTTCTAGAACTTCTTCTCTTTCTTTATATTGTTAATAAAATACAAGGTGATCTCTATGACTCATCTCCTATCATATGACAACCGCCTTCCCTAGATTCCATCAAATTGAATTGTGACGGAGTAATGCGTGGTGCTGAAAGCAAGGCGGGTTGTGGTGGTGTTATTAGGAACCATATGGAAGGTTTTATTGTTGAGTCAGACGGAGCAATTTCCAGCAAGATTTTGAATGAAACAAATATAATACATGTTGTTATTTCTAACAAGCGTGTTAGTGTTTCAGGAAAACATAAGTACAGGAAAGCTGAAGAATAGAGCATGTGCATATACCACTTCCTACTCCAAAACCAAGATAAAGAGGAAAGTTTCAAGTATCAAATGAAGATGTGTCAAGGACAATCTAGAGAGCAAATCATATGAAGCATTGGTCAAAAGAAAGTCAACTATGCATCAGATTGAAAGGTATTCAAGACGGAAACAAAGTCCGTCCATCTACCATACTGATCAGACCAAAAGAGAGTCAAAACATCAACGTCAAATACTTAGATGGAGATCACGACTTGAGATGCACATGGACCAATAGACGTAGACGAAGATTGTCGTAATGGCACTTAAAGAATCAAGTCTTAAAAGACTACTCAAGCATCGTCTACGAATATAAAAGAGCTCTCAACATGATCAAAGTGAGTAAAATGAGAACCGAAAAAAGTGTACTTTTTCAGATAAGGACAACGCTCCACAGACCGGTAAAGGACAAAAAGATTTCTAGGTCTCTGCAAAATTCAGACAATGCTGTTAGCAAAACAAAGAAGACTTCATGCAATATCCATGAACAGGAAGCAACATTTAATGCAAGATCCTGAGCACTAAATGAAAGATCAAACTAGTCATAAACGACTATATCAGCTTCAACGAACACTTGTAACGAGCAAATTTTACAAGACTATATATGTCACAACTTCGAACCTGAAAAAGTTGGCTTTTAGAAAAGATAGACGAAGAGTGATACGAAGCCCATAAAGTAAGGAAACCAAAGATAGAGCTCATGGAATCATCAAATATACATTGATGTTATTATCTCTATAGTCTAAGGTGTTCTAAGTGTAACTTAGGATCATACACTTTAGTGAGTGTAGAAAACATATGTATCCTCTTTGTGAGAGTAATCCAAACACTTAATCTCAACTATTTACTTATCATTTGTAAAGCCTGAAGAAGCGAGGGAAAGAATACTTGTAAAGCCTGGAGAGGCTTGTCAAAGAATACTCACTATGAGCTAGAAGTGACTGATTAAAGAATACTAGCGTTGAGGAGTGAAGTCAATGGACCAGGAGTTGGTCGAGAATACTCATTTACGAGCCAGAAGTGGCTGATTAAAGAATACTAGCGTTGATGAGTGAAGGCGACGGGCCAGGAGTTGGTCGAGAATACTCATTAAGAGCCAAAAGTGACTGATTAAAGTATACTAGCGCTAATGTTGAAGTTAGCAGGCCAGGAGTTGGTCGAGAATACTCATTAGGAGCCAGAAGTGGCTAAACAAAGAATACTAGCGTCAAAAAGTGAAGTTGACGAGCCAATAGTGGTTGATAATACTTAGGACCAGGAGTGGTTGTGATCTGGGTGGTCTATAATACTCACTGCGAGCCTGAAGAGGCTGAATAAATAATACTTGCACTTCATTGATTATCTAGTGGAACCCTTCATTTGAAGGAGACTAGACGTAGCTTAGTCTGAGCAAACCAATATAAAATCCTTGTACTATCTATTTACATTTCAAACGATATTTTATTTATTCGCTAAATCATATTAAAAACTTTGTCCATTACCTATTCTTCAATGAAGCTACTCCTAGACGAGAAATACTTTTGTTTAAACCATTATCTGAAGAAACAATGTTTCCTTTAAGAAATAAGCTTTCATTTAAGAAACATTTCTTGTGTGCAGACGATAAAACTCTTAGACGGAAAGTGTTTTTGTAAAACCAATCCTGGGCAATTTCTATTTAGCATTCCCCAATACTATTTTACTGGACGAAAAATAATTTTCTTGCAAAAATGTTTTTTTTAAATTCCTTTACACAATACACATATTCAACCCCCTTCTATGTGTTTTTTTTATCTAACCTCATTTATAACGCTTTTCATGTAAGCTCGATTAGTGTTCCGTTCTTTTAACAGAGTTATGAGTGATATTTCTCGAACTTCAGATCATTAATGAGAAAGACTTTAAAGAGGATATCATTGTAGAATCAGATTCTAGCCTCGATGTTAAGTTTCTTAATGAAGGTTAGTGCTTCTCATAGCTGTGCATCCTTGATTAATTCTATAGTAGAGATGAATGATATTGAATAGGACCTTAAATGCTCACATATTTATAGAGAAGCCAACCAAGTGACTGATACAATGACAAATCTTAATTTCGATATTCAATCTTTGATAATCCCCTCACAGGGTTGTTTTTCTTTGTTTGCTGATTCTGCAACAATATCTTTTTACTGTTGTTTTTTGTTTAGGCTTTTAAGCCCGTTCACTTACAAAAAAAAATAAATAAGAAGATCAAAATTGAGGATGAATAAAAATAGAAGAACCAAAAATGTAATTTAGTCCAAAAAAAAATATACTTATTTGACAAGATAATTTAATTTCTTAGAGATATTTTTATTTTTTAATTTTGATTTAAAAAATTATTAATTTTGAATGAATTTTCAAACACCAATCTTATCACATATATTATTTGCATTTTTTTTTTCTGTTTTCAAAAATAGAAATCAATTTTAAAAATAAAGTTAAAAAAAAAAACCCAAACAAGCCCTAAAGTTTTGAAATGAAAAATGAAAGGAAAGAAGGTCTCGACACAACGAGCTCCAGAACCGCGCTTTCTTCCCCCACGACACACCCATTTTGCTTAAACCACCATTGGACGCGGCGATACCCCACAGTGGTCGCATTCACACTCCAACGCCGTCACCGCAACGCAACAAAACGCAACCATCCTCGCTCGCCGTTCGCGAATTTCACCGCTTCCCTTCTTCACCTCCTCATTGCGCTGCTCTCGTAGTTCCAACACGGTAACAACTCCGAACGAATTAGCTTCACCAACAAAGAGTTCGAAGCACTCACTGATTCATTCCTTTTTCTCTCGCACCAGCGTTTAGCAGGAACATGAGTCCCGCGAAGATCGAACCCGAAGAGGTCGAAGGCGAGGTAGTCGGAACCACCGATTACTTCTTCGTCAAAATCGGCGAGGCCGTTCCGTTGAAGGCTTCGGATTCGAATTTCGATGTCGAAACCCTTCCGTCGCAGCCTCTCGCACTCTCCGAACGCTTTCGCCTAACCTTCGTTGCTCACTCTTCAGGTAAACAGCACTTGAGTGTTCAATTAAACACGCCTCTGTGCTCAAATTGAATGTTGTTTTTTAATTTTTTAGGTTTTTACGTTGCGAGGACGAAGGACCTTATCGATTCCGCGAACGAGTTTAAGGACAAGGGAAGTGGCTCGCCGGTGCAGCAACTGAGTCTTGTGGATGTTTCCATTGGTAGGGTTCGCGCATTGGCTGTTTCCACCGATAATTCAACGCTCGCGGCTTCTGTCGCTGGTGACATTCGGTTTTACTCTGTTGAAAGCTTTCTCAACAAGGTACATAAACCATGACTTTGAGGGATTAATTCATTGGAGTAGCCTAGGTTTCATTGTGTTTTAGGTTTAATTTAATTACTTAATCTGTTGTTATGGTGCTGAGTTTTGATATGAATGAACGTTCATTAGTGTCCTTCTATCACTTTCATTATATGGCATTGTGTCATTCAGTACATGTGGTTTGTTGAAGCTTTGGCTTTTGCACTGCCACTTTGTTATTTAGCTTTCTACTTTGTTGAAATAGAATTTATTGGGGAGAAAATGGTGTCTTGAGTGCACGTAATTCATCTTATTTATACTAAACAGTGAATTAAGCATGACAGATGATTAGGAACTAATTGCAGATCTATTCAACAACTATTGTCTATAGTAATAAATGAGTTTACTAATATTGTAACATACTGCATGTGCTAATAGTAATAATTTTAAACTAATAGTGTGTTTGGATATTTGTTGGAGAACTCAAATGGATGTTGAAGCCAATGCGTGGTCTCATATACTTTTCTGTTCAACTGATTTGGAATGTGTGCAAACAATAAATCAAACACATTAATTTCCAGTACTCCTTGAGCTGAAGCTAATTAAGCTCTTAGCTTGTAAATAAAAAACTTAGAAACAAAAACAAAAGGACACCAAGATGTAAAACAACTCATCCTATCTCAGCCAAGGAGCTTAGGCAGTTAGTTTTCCCCTTGATCAACAAAACCTTTTGGTGATGTCTTTGGTAGGTAGAGGCCCTCGTGAATGCTGATAACTTACCTTTGTTAGCATATAAATTCTCCCAGCCATCTCTTCCCTTGTATGGTTGGCAGTTTTTCTATTCGCCAAATCCCTCTGTTTAATCTTTTAAACTATAACTATGTTCCCTTCTTAAGCTTCTACTGCCTGATGCTTAGGAAGGAAGTATTAAATAAATATAAGGAGAATAGAAAACCTCATAAACATGAAAGCAAATAACTAGGATCAAGAAAAAATATAAAATGCTGTGAAGGTGCTCAATCTCTATAAATTTTGGGATTGTTTGTATGCTTTATATCTCTATCTAAAATACAACTTATATGCTTGAAATATTTTATGCCATATTAACTTTTCTATTTATGTTCTCATTATTTAGGAAGTGAAGCAATCCTTTTCCTCTTCACTTGATGATTCAACCTTTGTCAACGACATGCGTTGGATAACAACAACAAAAAATTCTTATGTTGTTCTTTCAAATATTGGGAAACTATATTGTGGAGAGATTGGTTTTCCACTTAAACATGTGATGGACAATGTTGATGCTGGTATGCTTCTTTCTTTGTTTTTGACTTACCACTTGAATATCTTCACGCCCCAGTATCCATGTGAGTTATGTTTAATGTTTTTATGACTTTAAGGAGTCAAATTACACCAATTGGCAATAAATATTGGAATATGAGTCAGTTCACTACATTACATATCTGTGTGTGCATGCGTGCTCGTGTTAGTGTATCTGTATATCATTGTTCCTATTGCTATTACTGTTTAATTTTTCTATTTTTTTTTTGTATTATACATGGTCGGGAGGGAATGAATTAAAATCTGGTTGTGGCTTTATGCATACACGTCTCTGTCTTTGTCTCTCTCTCCTTGTCTTTCACCTAATATCTGAACAGTGCAGTGTTTGGTGGGCATTGTAATATTTTAATCATATGTTTGGTTCACAGCAGCTTTTTTCCTTATTTTGTCATTCCCAATTACTTGTTTAATTTTTTGTTTCTTTGTGCAGTTGATTGGGGGTTGAAAGGTTCATTTGTTGCTGTGGCAAGTAAGAGTGTTCTAAGCATTTTATCAGCTAACTTTGAAGAAAGAGTTTCAATTCCACTATCCTTCGGATCATGGATTGGTGATTCTGCAGCTAATATTAGCATAAAAGGTTTGCTTCATTGTTTCATTTCTTTATTTTAATGTGTGTATAGTGTGTGTGTGTGTGTGAATTAGTTTTTACTTCCATATAAGTTCTTCATAGATTTGTTAAATGCCCTTTTGATTCAACAATTTCATCGGGAGGATTTTTTGTCAAGACTATCAAATGTTGAAAGGGAGTTAATAAAAAAACCTCATATACTTTAGTTTTGGTCCTTGAACTTATGTTGTTTTTCATTTTAGTTGCTATTTTAATTATGTTTGTTTTTAATCCATACATTTAACAAAAATAGTTCATTTTTAATCCCTCACTAGGACTAAATGCACTTTTTTTTTTCCTTTTCTATTTTGTGGACAAAAAAGAAATGAAAGTTTAATCAAACTAGTTTAAAAATGATATTTTTAGGGGCTAAAAACATATTTAAGCAAAAAGACGTAGCTAACTAAAAATATTGGAGACTCTTAAGATAGTGGTTTGGAGTCTAATTCAATCTTACAAAACTAGTTTGTAAGGTGAGGATTGTTCCCCACTTATACACACTAGTATGACCATTTCACTAGATGATGCGGAATTTCTAACATAGCTCCCTTATGCCGAAGACTGGACATCTTGAGCATAAAGTTTGTAGGACTGGATATCTATAGGTTGCTTGACAACAGTTCAATAGCGGGTGGCTTGATAAGCCTAACAACAAATCGCTAAGATAGACTCTGATATGCTATGATACCTTCTTAGAAAGTGGTTTGGAGCTTTACTCAACCCTACAAAACTGACTTGTAAAGTGAGGGTTGCCTCGCACTTATGTACTCTTTGTTGACCTTATTACTATTCGATATGGGATCTCCAATACACTTTCTTCATGTTGAGGAAAAAACATTTTGAACGTAAAATTTGCAGTACTGGATATTTGCTGATGGTTTGAAAGTGGCCTAATAGCTGGTGGCTTGATAAGTCCAACAACAAGAATTGTTAGGATAGGGCCTGATACCATCCTAAGAAAGTGGGTTGGGGTCTAACTCAACCTTACAAAACCGGCTTGTAAGATGAGGATTGCTCTCCACTTATATACATTAGTAAGGCCATCTCACTAGACGATGTGGGATTTCCAACAAAAACTATTTGACTGAAAATGCTTGAGTAAAATTTTTAGGTGTGTTACGATGTCCATATTTGCTGAGAATAATGGCCAGCAATACTCCTCCCTATGTTGGCTGTTGTGGTCAAGTTAGGCACTTAGGCTTGATTCATTTCTAATAGAAATGATAGCTGTAGGAAATAAGAGCAATTTTAACCTCTTTCCAAGTAGCCTAGATACTTCATATAGCTAGGTTCAATGCTTGTTAGTGATAACTTAATTGCTCTCTTGTAAATTGTAATTATCATTGATCATCTTTGTAATACTTATTAATATAAATAGATAATTCAGCTGAGTGGTCATATCCACTTAAGCTGTTAAAAAAATCCATTTGTCATTTTCTCACATGATGTTAGAGCTCCTGATCTGAGGGCTTTTCTTTCCCAAAAACAACTTTGTAGAAGTTTTGATTGGGCAAGTATTGTTAAATGGTGGCACCATGGCTGCCATGGTGGAATCGTGTGGTGGTTTTGTGAAGGGAGGCTCGCTATGTTTGTTTCTTGGATCTTGTCTAACTTCCTGGTGGTTCAAGAAACAAACACTGGTTTCTAGGTCTAGTGCTGAAGCCAAATACAGGAGGTTGGCTATCACAGCTTCTGAAATTCTGGATTCAGTCTTTGCTTCAAGAACTGCAAATCTATTGCACTACTGTCATGTACTAATCAAAGTGCAGTAGCCTTGAGTCACAATCTTGTTCTTCATTCCAGAACCAATCATATGGTGTTAGATATTTTCTTTGTTAGATAAAGGGTCACTCTCTTATTATTGCTCATGTTCTTGCTCAAGATCAAATTGCAGACATTCTGACAAAACCTCTGTCCAAACTTGGATTTTGTAATTTGAGACACAACCTTAGAGTGATTAGTTGTTTCCAATCACCCTGAGTTTGCATTGGGAATGTTAGAATATGTCTACTCTTGATTTCTCGTGTATAGGCATAGCCTAGACCCTGCTGTATTGTATTCTAGCTTGGGAGACAGCAGTTAGCTTTTTCTATCAGCATGTTAGATCAGTGCTGACTCAGCAGTAGCACTTTTAGTCAGTTTATTCTCTCCCTGCAATTACCTCATTGTACCAGATTATAAGGAGCACCAAAACCGTTCCTGTTCTCAAATATTCAATTCCCTCTCTCTGTCTCTGATATTTAATAGGGTGAGAGCTTTTGTCAGCAGCTTGGAAAAATCATAAGATACTTGTACTTCGGTCTATTCAGGTATGCTTCCACTTTCATTTGTATTTAATGTTGCAAAAACACCTCCATTCTTCTGGAGCCATGTACCTTATGATGTTCTCATCCAAATACTTCATATTCTCCTTTTCCTAGCAATAAAAAGAAAATAGTCATCACAGATGGCACACTTGTAACAGTAGCTGGCATATGAAACATTCAAAATTCAAATAAATACCTTCATAACCTTAAAAAATGTTCTTCATGTCCCTGGACCTATTCATAATGATTTGCTTTTATGGATTTTGTAGAAGTGGTGAAGCTATGGTTTTGTCTCAATGTGCAATCTGTGCTGCACCTTGGTGCATCTGTTTGAAGTAGAACTGATGTATTTTTTAGGAGATTACTTTGGCTCAACACTTGATTTGAGATTAAATATTTGGAATCTATTTAGAGTAAAGCACATGGCTTTTTGAAATGGGGTATCATATCACTAAAGATATGTGGAGCCTGGGCAGCTTTTTTTGATTAATCTTTTCTTTTTTTCTTGGTTGTTTTCTGTTGTTGTATTCTTTAGTTTAGGAAGATTCCTTATCTCCGTTTCTCTCTGTATTTTTTTCTTAGTTTTAATAAATTTCTTCTGTTATCCCTAAAATAAATAATCTTACAAATACAATATGCTATAAGTTTGCTTTGATTTATGACAATCTGTTCTTCATAAAGTTCATTTAGTTGGTAAGTAGTGCTCACAGTATACGGGTGTTTTTCCTTCTCACGTGTCTTGCTGATGTGATAGAACTGGTTCCGATTCTTAAGGAAATAATGATTTTTTATTGACAAACCCGAAATCCTAATTTTTGTAACAATATGGTATCAGTCCTGGACCAGGGTATTCAAAATGAATGATTTCCCTGAATGTTTGAGAGACCTGGATCACCATCTAAGAGTCTAATCCTTTCTCAAATGACAAGCTGGTCTTCTCTCTGAACCTCCCTCTTATTATAAGTTATCTATCTTGATTCCTCTCTATCTCAGCGCAATAAACTAACAGATATCAATGACTTATTAATCTTTAAATATAACATATATTGACAACTAAAGTTACTAAACTAACAATTATCTAACATCATGGTACTCCCCAAATTGATAATTCTCACTACTAACATACATTAATAACTTGTTAAATGTGAATAGGCAAATAGGAATATAGTTAATTAAGGTTCAACTTGAACCAGAAAAGTTTAGCACATTTTAGGAAATTCTAATTAAAAGTAGGCACTAGGGAGTGAGCATATGATTGAGATGTCAATAGTCCCACACATTTTCTTGATGGTCAATTTTATTTTTTTGATGTTTTAAGGTCAATACATGGTGTTGTGTTCATGTTATGCACTGCATATAATATAGTCTTTCTTAAATAATTGTACCAGTTGATTCTGTCAAGTGTGTTCGTCCCGATTCTATTGTAATTGGATGCGTTCAACTTACTGGTGATGGCAAGGAGGAAAATTATCTTATCCAAGTTATTAGAAGCCGACTTGGTGAAATTGACGATGTAAGTGTAAAATCCTTGTATTTTTTTGTTTTTTTGTTTTTTCATGAATATAATCATTATTAATCATGAGCTGCCTATACATGATTAAACTTCGTTGTGGACAAGACTTTAGAAGGCCCGGACAATTGATGCATGCTCTTATCTTGATATTGAATATTTACATGTCATCTTGCTTGCTTTCTGGTAAAATATTTAGGTCAAATTAATGTGCAACTCCCTAAATTATTTGGAGGTTTTGAATAGGTCCTTGTACTTTAAAAGTTTATGTTCAGTTCTCTGAGCTTATAAATTGTGAGAAATGAAATTTTTTTTTCCTGAATGTGATTGAGTGTTTTTCCACCCATCAGAATGAACTTATTTATATTCAAGAGTATATATAAAAGATAATTAATGCCAAAACATTTTACAAGAGAAAAATTTAGATACTGCTAATTGTCTTCATGCTGAACATTGCTAATGTATTCACATTCCGCTGTATTTTGTAAATGTCTCACTGTTTATCAAATTCAAGAGTCAGGATGCTGGGTAGCTTAAGAAAATTACAGTTGTTGTTTTCATGTAGCATTAAATTCTAAATTTGAATTTTCTCTTGCAGGGTTGTTCTGAATTAGTTATTCAATCCTTCTATGATATTTATCAAGGGTTAATTGACGATATTGTACCCTTTGGAAGTGGACCCTACCTTTTATTGACATATTTAAAACAATGGTAAATCTTTTGCATTTCTTTTCATGATGCTTTCTCATCTCCGTAGTCCACCTTTTCTGGCTGATTTTCTGCCTTTACATGTTTTTACATCTTAGTTCGAAGGTTTGTTTTCCATAAAGTTTGTCATGGTACCTTAAATAAATAATGTCGATGTAAAAATAGGGGAGTGACAGGGAATCAAGGCCCTGAGGGCATTGATTAAAAGTAAACAGATTAACTAACTGCAGTTAAGTAGTTAGGTTAGGTTAGTTCACATGTGGAAGGAATATAAGAGTAGGAGCGGAATGAGGTGATGGGCTGATGGCTATTGTGGGATAAAAAGAATCAGTTTTGGGGGAGGGTTCTAGGTCACTTTAGTACCTGGAGATTGATTTGTTCTCATTCTTGTTTGTTGCCCTTACCCATTTTGATAACATTGGTACAAAATTGGGATTAGTGTTTGATCAATAAAATTACATGTTTTACATGTTTACTGGTCATCAATATCATCCTTTATCTTTCATGAATTTTGTTGAATTTCTTTTCTGACCAAAACTTAGAATTTGAACTGATGAATGATTTTGCTTTATTTCTTTTATTTTTTTTAATAACTACAGCCAACTTGCAATCAATGCCAACATGAAAAATACAGATCAGCACATTATGCTGCTTGGTTGGTCAGCAGATGATGACAAGAGTGAAGCTGCAGTTATTGATATTGAGCGAGATAATTTGGTTCCAAGAATTGAACTTCAAGGTACTTCAAGATTGCTAACTTGTTGCATGATTCACAATAAAACATTATGGTGCCCTTTAATTTGATCTATGTAGCTGACTCCACTTAGTGGGAAAAGGCTTAGTTGTTGCCGTACTTGTAACATGTTTGGCAAGAAACCTCATTGGGCTAAACAGACGAAAATTATAAGGAAGTTGGAGGATTAGGATGTCATGGACTGAGGACAGGAGATGATAGATAAGCCATTTTAGGGGTTGTTTTGATACCACTCCTTAAGTGATTGGGCCAGGATTAAATCTGGAGTTACAGATACAATTTTAGAGCCCGGTATATGCTGGTGACCCAACCCAAAGCTAATTTATGGTTCCAACAATAGTTTGGATGGAATAACTTCCATTCGATATCTTTTTATCCAATTACCCAAAAATAAATATGGGTTGAATATTCACGTTCTGCAAATATTAAATTAATTCTTGAGACAATAATCTTTTTAAAATATGTTCTATTTCAAAGTAATTTGAATAATGTATGATAATCACCACTAACACACTATAGAAGATATATAATATTTTTTCTTCATTTTATTGATTTGCATTATGCCAATTGTATCTTGATGATATTCTTAATTCTTCAACTCAGCATGTTTGGGAAAGCTTAATTAACCACATTTCAGTTTTTTTTTTTTTTTTTTTTTTTTTTTTTTTTTTTTTTGGGGAAATAAAGCTGTTTGCAAAATAAGTTGCATGTTTGAGACAACAATTGAAATTTCTAAAAAGCTTTTTTTTTTTTGAAAAAAAAGTTGTTTTTAATGCATCTAGAGATTTGACAACCTTCTTTCCCCTAAAGCTGATTTTATTATGTAAAAACTGATTTTTTTTTTGTTATATCCAAACGAAATTAAATATTTTAAAATCACTTTTTAGCAAACTTACCCTAACAAAATTTCATGCTGATTATAATTGATTTAACAATACTGGATTATCCATGGAGTGGATTGTTGAAAACTTGAAATAATCTAATTTTCACATCTGTCCCAAACCCAAATGCACCCTCAATGCTACTAAAATTTCATCAGTTTGTTTCATGTAAGAGGGTTGAGATGGGTAAATCTTGACCATTGGATCTTGTACAAATGGTTACTATCTAGAAAGGAGTAATGGCTTTTTCAAATCTTCTATTAATTATGATTTATGATCATTCATTTGAGATTCAATTAAGATTTTCAATTCTTGCTGCTCTTGGATGCAACTGGCATATGCATCTTGATTCATGAAGCATCGATATCATAAAATAATGTGTGCTCATATAGAAGGCATCCTGATACTCATTGACTCTTGATCTATCTCTTGGATTTAGTTTGATATATACTTATGTAAGTTTGTAAATTTTCACTTTTCCAGAAAATGGTGATGATAATTTGCTGTTGGGGCTATGCATTGATAATGTTTCAATCTATCAAAAAGTTGGAGTTCAACTTGGTGTGGAGGAAAGGACAGAGCTTTCACCATATTGTGTTCTTATATGCCTTACTTTAGAGGGAAAACTTGTTATGTTCCATGTTGCCAGGTAAGTTTTTGAAATTCTTTTCTATTTCCATTCACAAGCATCATTTGATTGATTGCTTCAGATGAGAATAAGTTGTGTTTTGGCAATACCATGGTCTGAGATTTAGTTTTTTCCACATGCTTCTAAATTTTCACTTGAAAAGGAGAATAATTTTATTATTATTATTCATACATATTACATTTTCCTTATACCTATTTGTAACAATCTAATCTTCTAAAATAAGGAAATAAGGAAAAATATTCTGAAAAATATCCTAGAAGATTCTATAGATATTTTCTCTAATTAGGAAGATTTTTCCTCTAATTACAACACTCCCCCTCAAGTTGGTAAATGAATATCAATCATTCCCAACTTGCCTAGAAGATCTTGAAATCTACTCGGAGGGAGCCCTTTTGTAAAAATATCTGCTATATGAAGTTCTGTAGGAACATGAGTTGTAATCACAAAGCCTCTGTCTAGATTATCTTTGATGAAATGTCTGTCAATCTCAATATGTTTGGTCCTATCATGTTGTACTGGATTATGGGCAATGCTCATGGCAGACTTATTGTCACAGTATAGTTGCATGGGTTGTCCACCTTGATTTTAAGGTAATCCAAAATGATTTTCATCCACGTTACGAGACTATCTCCAAGAAACATACAATACCCAGAAGTAGATTTTCTGTCAGTAATAGAACCTGCATAGTCAGCATCAATATATATTTTCATAGTCAATGTATCTTCCCTTTTGAACAATAACCCCTTTCCTGGACTTGACTTCAAGTACTGGAGAATTTTGTCAACTGCTTGCATGTATCTCTCTCTTGGATCATGCATAAATTGGCTCACAACACTAACTGCATAAGCAATGTCTGGTCTTGTGTGTGATAGATAAATCAATTTCCCTACCAATCTCTGATATTGAGCCTTCTCTACAGGAGCACTTTCTTCACTTCCAATTTTGTGATTTTGTTCTATAGGAACTGTTGAGGTTCTACATCCCAGCTTCCCTGTTTCTTTGAGGAGATCAAGTACATATTTCCTTTGGGAGATGAAAATTCCATTTTTGGAATAAGCAATCTCTATTCCAAGAAAATACTTGAGTTTTCCTAGGTCTTTCATTTCAAATTGGGCTGCCAATTTTTCTTTTAATGCCAATTTTTCTATTTCATCATCTCCTGCAATAATCATATCATCCACATAGACAAGCAATAGAGTGAGTTTACCTGTAGAAGAGTGTTTTATGAATAGAGCATGATCTCCTTGGCTTTGTCTGTATCCCAAGGAAACCATTACTTTTGTAAATCTTCCAAATCATGCTCTAGGGGATTGCTTAAGACCATAAAATGCTTTCTTTAGGAGGCATACCTCGTTTCTTTCATTTTTCACTTCAAAACCTGGGGGAATCTCCATGTACACTTCCTCTTCTAGATTTCCATGAAGAAAGGCATTCTTCACATCCAACTGGTGTAAGTCCCAACCAAAATGAGCAGCCAAAGCGAGAACAACTCGAACTGTATTCATCTTTGCCACTGGGGCAAACGTCTCCTCATAGTCAATCCCATAAGTTTGGGTATAGCCTTTTGCCACCAATCTAGCTTTATATCTTTCTATTGTCCCATCTGCATTATGTTTCACTGTGAATATCCATCTACACCCTACTGCCTTCTTGTCTCTTGGCTTATCAACAATCTCCCAGGTTGAATTTCTTTCTAATGCATTCATCTCTTCTTTCATGGCTTGAGTCCAATGTTCAAGTTTCATGGCCTCCTGGACTGAGGTAGGAATTTCTGTGGCATCAATGGCAGCAATAAAGCTTCTGTGCTTATCAGAGAGATTGTTAGTGCAAACATACTGAGAAATAGGATATTTAGCACATGATCTTCTTTCCTTTCTCAATACAATGGGTAAGTCCCCAGTAATACTTACCTCCTCACTATTATCTTCAGGGATCCTCACTTCCGGTTTAGACAATTTTTCTTGCTCGAGAGTTGAAGTGGGTTGTTTTCTTCTTTCATATTTTTTGCCAAAAAATTTGTCTTCCTCTTCTTCCGCTTCTTCCTCATTGTGAACCATGGTAGCTTCATTGCTTAGATCTTGGGCATCCTGCAAAGACAAATATGGTAATGACAAGAAGGAGAGCTCCTCCACTTCAAGTGCTTTCTCCCCCTGAAGTGGTGGACTGGCATAAAAGGATTGTGTTTCCTGAAAGGTGACATCCATGGTGATAAAGACGCGACGACTCTGAGGATGATAACATTTGTACCCTTTTTTATTAGAAGGATACCCAATAAAGACACATTTAAGAGCTTTGGGATCTAATTTACTACGATTAGGATGATGAGAGTGAACAAAAACAGTACATCCAAAGACTCGACTAGGTAGACTCGATATTAGAGGGCAAGAGGGAACAAAAGACAATAGAGACTCTATAGGACTAATGCCATTTAAGATACGGGTGGGTAACCTGTTGATGAGATATGTGGCAGTTAACACAGCTTCTCCCCAGTAATTTTTTGGAACAGACATTTGAAAAAGAAGAGCTCTAGTTACTTCTAGAAGATGACGATTCTTTCTTTCTGCAACCCCGTTTTGTTGAGGGGTGTTTACACATGTTAGTTCATGAACAATACCATTATGAGACAAAAAATTAAGAAATTCATGATTCACATATTCAGTACCATTATCAGACCTGATTCTTTTGATATTTTTTCCAAATTGATTTTGGACCAGACGGAAAAAATTAACAAAGATTTGGAAAACTTCTGATTTATTTTTCATAAGGTATGTCCATGTGACACGGGTACAATCGTCAATAAAGGTAACAAACCATCTAGCTCCGGAAATAGATTCTACGACAGGTCCCCAAACATCAGAGTGAATTAAATCAAATGGAGAAGTACTCTTTTTATTACTAATAGGATAGGATGCACGATGGTGTTTTGACAATTGACAAATATCACAATTAAAAGACTCAATAGACTCCTTAGTAAACAAATGAGGAAATAAGGATTTAAGAAGGTTGAATGAAGGATGCCCAAGCCTTTTATGATGTAGCCATATTTGGGAATTTGCCCACGTTTCAGATGTAGCTTGTTGACTCATGATTTTTGTTTTGTTTTGATCATCAGATTCCAACAAATACAACCCACTCTGCTCTTTAGCAGTTAAAATTGTCTTCCCCGTAGCAAGGTCCTGAAAAACACAATGAGTTGAGAAAAATGTTACTGAACAATTTAAATCTTTTGTGAGCTTTTGCACAGAGATAAGATTATTGGCTAATTGTGGAACATGTAAAACATCCTTTAATACAATAGATGATTCCAAAATTATATTCCCAGAGCCGCATATGGGTACACCTTGACCATTCGCAACTGTAATAAGTTGTTCTCTATTCCTTTGAATATATGATTTGAAGATCATACGAAAAGGTGTCATATGATCAGTTGCTCCTGAATCAAGAATCCAAATACCTTGTGACACAGGACCCACATTATGGAGAGAACTCTTACCTTTCATGGACAGAGTACATGGTCCAGAGGGCTTACTTATTGATTCAATCATTCCTTTCAAACGATCTAGTTCCTCTTTAAAAGCTTTCATCTCAAAAAATCTGATGGTGGTAACTTAATGGATTGATTCGGCGACTCTGTCTGTGGCGACAACGATGAGTGGGCCGTGGAACGGACTTAGGAGGCTCCGGCGACCAGTTCTGTGACAGCAGCGGCGAGTGGGTCTCGTCGGAGCTAGGCGCGTGGGACGTCACCGGAAAAGGAACAAAACTCAAAAACTCAGATTTACTCAAATCTGCGCCAAATGGGACGTCACCGACCCGTGGAATGGACTCAGGAGGCTCCGACGACTCTTTCTGTGGCGGCGACGTCGAGTGGGTCTTGCCAGAGCTAGGCGCGTGGGCTACACGCGCCGGTGACGGTGGTAGCGCGTGGCGGCGTATTTCCCGGAGCGAATTCTGGCGTTGTGTTCGCCAGAGTTGGGCGCACCTTTCTGCCCTATCAACGACCCCAAAGGCTATGGCGGCAGCCGTAGTGGCCGGATAGCGGCGGCGGTGGCTACTGTTTGCAGCGGAAACGGAGCTCCCAAGATCTGGAGCTCTGAAACCAACTTGAAAAGGAGAATAATTTTATTATTATTATTCATACATATTACATTTTCCTTATACCTATTTGTAACAATCTAATCTTCTAAAATAAGGAAATAAGGAAAAATATTCTGAAAAATATCCTAGAAGATTCTATAGATATTTTCTCTAATTAGGAAGATTTTTTCTCTAATTACAACATTTTCTATCTTCAAAGGTTGAATGGGTTTTATCTTTAGTCTTGCAGGAAGTAAAGCTTCATCACCTGAGGTTAATTCTGTTCTGCACAATGATGAAGATGCTTCTGTAAACCTTCCTGAGGATGAAGGTTGCACTTTTTCTCAGGGATTGCAGAAACAGGCAATGGATAAGGTGTTTTTGGTTCTTTAATTTTAGGATATAGGAACAGTTATTTTTCTATTGAATACTGATTGTTAGTATATTCAGTTATTGACATTTCCAATAAAAACAAATTCTGTGCAGACTTTTGAGGTTAGTGGGAATTTGATGGCCAAGCCCTCTGGCAATCCTCAACAAATAACATGTACTGAAACTAAGCATACAGAAGTGGAATTAGTGGCAAATTCACAGAGTCTAAAGTCTAATGTGCAGGAAGTTGTTTCTGATGTGAATGTGAACCAAGATACTGATAATCAAAATCCATATCATCCAGGTGAACAGCAAAAAAGCTTAGGTCAAAAGACTGCAGCACTTGGAACTAGCATCGGTTCTTTAACAGTTAGCAGTCATTCTGCTTCTCCTGGTTTTTCAAGTTATAAAAATTTACAAGCAACTACTGAGAAGACTAAGGAACTGTGGACTCAACATATATCAAGTGACTCACAGAGAGCTTCTAATTTATTGCCGGGTGAAACATTTTCATTCCCTAAAAAGTCTGACGTTTCTTCAATTTCAGCTTCAAGTTATGCTGGTGGTGTTGGTTTTCAAAGTCAAAAATATACCATGAGTGCTTCAAATGTTCCTGGGAGCATGGGTGGAAAACCCATTCCTGTACAGAATGTATATGGCGTATCTCCAGCGATCAATTCTGCCAGTAGGCCTGTTCAGAGTGGGGGACAACAAGCCTCCTTAGTAGCTGGAAATATGCAACCAGTCTTGAATAGCAGTTCACATTTGTCATCTGATGGAAATACTGCCGCTGGAAAGTCATCTGCTCGAAAGTTGCTTCCTTCTAATGAGCAGCATGGAACTTCATCCAAGCATGGGATATCCAGTTCCGATTTATCAAAGCAGTTTGGCAAAGTATTATTTCTGAAAATCTTTCATAGTTTCAAAATATAAATGTTAGATCTTGTGCCTGTAAGATGGCGTTATTGATGTGGATAGATTAATTTCTTGTTTTATCTAGTCATTTGTGCTATAATGAGGAATGCTGATTGTATTGTTATGTATTTCTCTTCTCTGCTATTAAATTATGCCAGGAGTCCTGATTGTGCTGCTCTTTTTTTCCTTTCTCTCCACTAGATTAATGAGATGACTAAAGAATTGGATCTACTTTTGAGATCAATTGAAGAGTCTGGTGGTTTTATAGATGCTTGCACAAGGTCACTACAAATTTCAATTGAAGCAGCGGAACAAGGCATGGATGCTCTGTCCAAAAAATGCAAAAAATTGGCGGTGATGTTTCTTTATATGTTTTGACCCTTCCATTTCATGTCAAAATATTGGAGTTTGAGTCAATCTTTTCCTTGTTATAGGCTTGTATTCTGTTTTTAACTTAACTTTGATTCCAATGATATATTAATCATGTTTAATATTTATTACTTGAGACTTAAAATATGATAAAATCAGTGAGTTGTCTCAGATGATGTATTTTATATGAGAGGTCCGAGCAAGCAAGTACAATCAAGGGTACAATCTGAGAAAAAGACTTCAGCCTATCGCTCCTAACCAATAAGCTAGCTACAAAAAAAAGCAGCATTATGAAGATGTACAACAGATAATAAACCACTATTTTAACATTATTCAAATTTTAGGTTTTTAACATGTCTTTGAACCTTCCATTTCATGTTAAAATATTGGAGTTTGAGTCAATCTATTCCTTCTTATAGGCTTGTATTCTTTTTTTAACATAAATTTGATTCCAATGATATATTAATCATGTTTAATATTTATTACTTGAGATTCAAAATACGATAAAATCAGTGAGTTGTCTTGGATGATGTATTTTATGAGAGGTCTGAGCAAGTACAATCAAGGGTACAATCTGAGAAGAAAACTTTGGCCTATGACTCCTAACCAATAAGCTAGCTACAACAAAAAGCAGCGTTGTAAAGCTGTACAACAGATAATAAACAACTATTTTAACATTAATCAAATTTTATGTATTTAACATGTCTTTAACCGGGCCCCTTGACATTGTGCGACTCATGTAGCTGATTTTATCCTATGGGATAAGGCTTTTTTGTTGTTGTTGATTAGGGCCTTATGTGTTTAAAGCAAATTATTCTATTCCTTGTAGGCTTGTATTCCATCGTTTCTGCTCTTTCAATGGCAACACTATTTCCTAAAACTTTCACTTCTTTGGGAATTTTATTAATAGAAATATTAGTCAGAGAATTTCCTTTCTCATAGAAAATGTCAATCTTTATTCTATTCTGGATAGGAGAATTTGGACTCTTGGCTTTTCTAATGGTTTCTTGTAGTATAATTTTTCATTTATTAACTCATTCTCGTAAGTCTTAATAGGCAGAAGTTTTCCTTTGATAAATGTATTTGGAAATCAAAAACCCCTTCTAAAGTGAAGTCTTTTGTCTGAACTGCAGTACCAAATAGGATTCATAAAAATGGTTTGTTGCATATATCAAAACCTAAAATAAAAATTTCCTCCTATATTTGTCTCATGTGCATGAATAAATCAATCAACTTTAGACATGCTAAATCTCTGTGAAATTGTCTGCTTAGTATTTATGGTGTTTTGGGGAAGAATGGGTTTGTCTGAATTCTCTAGAGACCTTTCTTTGACAATGCTTAAAGTGTTTGGAAGAACTAAGAAAAAAAAGGGTCAAGATTTTATGAAACTGGTTACTGTTTTCTAATCTGTGGTGTTCATGTTGGAGAAGGATCAATATCTCAAGGTGTTTGGTCTATTTAGATTTTAGAAATGTGGAATTGAAGAAGTTTCTTGCTTCTCATTGGTGCTCAGCTCATGGTATTTTTAAGGGGTTTTCCGTTTTTTATTTGCAGAGGGAATGGGCTGCCAAAGTTCATTGTTATTTTATGAGTTTTGTTTTGTTGGTTTTTATTTATTTTTCTTATATAGTAGTTTCTGGTGGAAGAAATCTTGTCCTTCTGGCTTTGTAATCCTTTTCTTTATTAATGAATTCGTTTTTCTATAAAAAAAGAGATTTATTCTAAAATTTTAAAGATAAATTTAGTTATCATAAGATGTAGTGATGTACTCGCATTAATAAAAGTCTTGTACTATATGCTTTTGTAAATTCACACATGCACCTTCATTTAGTGATGGCACTGGTTTAGAATCTAATGTAAAGAATGAGGTGTTTTTGAACCCTCAATTCTAATTTCTGTGCCAATGTAGTAGCAGCCTTTGGCTAGGGTTGTAAGATACAAAATGAATGACTTCGGTGGATATTCAAAAGACCAAGACTCTCCCTACACTGTAATAGCCTAGTCCTTTGACTCCTTTCTCAAATGATAAGATGATTTTCTCAACCTCCCTTCTTTATTTATAGGCAATATGCGATATTTCTTCTACTCCTAACAAACTTCTAATGGTTATCTATCATTTGGACTGTGATTTGGTGACCTAGGTCATTCCTTTTTTGTTGCTTTGGATTTTTGATTTAGATTCCTTGGAATTTTTTCCATTTCTTTTTTCTGGAAAAGATGTTGCTTTTGAATATTAGTAAAGGCTATCATTTACAGCTAGAAATCAAGATGGTGAAATTTATATTTGCCTATGCTATGGCTGTGATATCTCGATATATAGTAGATATTAACATGTAAGCTCCTAATATGTTCCCCGACTTCATTTTTCTTGTTTACCATTTCTGTCCTTCTGTTAGACTTGCGTTTCTTTACCAGAAAGATTAATTAGGTATTTCAGCATCTCTTGGTGCCATTTTATTGTTTTTACATTTTCCTCTTTACTTGCACAGTATATTTAGTTATCTAGAGTGTACTGGATTTTTCATAATTTATTATTTGGTTATAGTTTGCAACTGATTAATGTTTATGCCTTTTATTTGTGTTGTAATTTAGATTTTATTTTAATTTCATTAGTTTCATTAGGTAGTGTTTTTAATTGTGTTTGTTGTACATTGTACTAATATTCAAATTTTTTCCTGTTTACTTTTCAGTGCCAAGTGGATGAACATCATGAGGAAGTTCATCATCTTCTTAGCAAGACAATACGAGGTAACCTTTACATGTGTATGAAATTTGTTTTCATGGAATTTTTAGCAAATGAAATTATGTGGCTGCATCAGTCCAGTAATATTTGTATATCTATATTTTAATAAAAATGAAATTTTTTTGAAAAATAAGTGGTGAATGAATTCTTTTGAATTTTTGTTTGGTCAGCATTTTTTACTGGTGTAGCTGGTAAAATCTCAAATATAATATCCTTTCCAACAACATTTCATCTTTGCTAAATTATACTTTTGGTCCATGAAAAGTGCATTAGTTTTTCAACAGGTTCCTGGAAATTATTATTTTCAGTTGAATCCTTAAAAGTTTTCCATCTAGTCTTTGAAGGAAGTTTACAACCACAGTATCAAAGCTTTGTGCCTTGTCAAAAGAGTGGCTACCTCATCCACATTTTCAATCACGGTCTTGAGGGTTTGGTCTGATCTGCACTCAATTGTAAAATAAATAAAATAGTTTTGATAACATGTTTAAAAACTCATATTTATCAGGGGCTTAAACTGTAATTTAACATCTTATTTTTTCTTTTTCACAAAGTAAAACAATTTGTTTTAGAAAAATTACATTATGTCCTGAGTCCATGACATCCTAGTTTTCTTGTTACATGTATTCTTTCCTTTTTCTGGTCAAAATATTGGATAAGCTTTCTCTGTTTGACCTAAATGATTATCTGTTTGGATAACAGTTATGGCAAGAAAAATATATATGGAAGGGATATATAAGCAAGCTTCTGATAGCCGATATTGGGACCTATGGAATAGGCAAAAGTTGAATTCAGAACTTGAGCTAAAGCGACAGCATATATTGAGTCTGAATCAGGTATTATGGGTTATAATTTGCCAACAAAGGTTTCTGTGGCCTATGTTTTAACAAGTTATCTTAATCCTTATTCCAGGATTTAACCCATCAGTTAATTGAATTGGAGAGGCATTTCAATGCCCTTGAATTGAATAAATTCAGTCAATATGGTGGCGGGTGCATAGGTCGTGGAGTTCTCCAAAATAGATTTGGACCTTCAAGGTATAGTGACTTGTAGCAAATTTTATACTGAACTACACGCATAACATGTTCATTCAATTATTGATATGTGGTTTTTAATCTATATCAATTGTCTTGTTGCCATTAAATCTATAGCTTATCTCATTTACATATAATAGGCTTAGATACAAGTTGCTACCTGTACCACAACCATTTTTCTTTCTTTTACTATTCTATGGTGTTTTTTATTTTATAATCTTCATGTCATCTAGTTGTGGCTTACAATTTGAATGTAATAAAGTGAAATAGGGTAATCACGCATCTTGTAATTGAAGCAAAGATGTATGTTGTTCAACTAATGGTTGTTTCAAGGGAGTGTCGTTTAAACCTGTATAGAAATTGAGTATCATGCTGTCGTTTTGCATTGCTACTTGATATTCTTTGTTCCCTCATTTATTCTTAATGAATTTTATATTTGCTAGAAGAAAAACTATTCTTGTTAAGAGTATTAGAATATAAGATTTTTGTTTTAGTAGACTAATTTGGGATGTGCTATTCCTCTTTGTACTAGATTATTACTTGACCTAGACTGCTAATATAAGTATGATAGTATATGTATATACTGTTTCTATCATATGTCAAATCTAATACTCTTAACAGGTTCTTAAAAGTATAAATATGATAATTATTGAGACCAGATGCTTAATAAGGCATGGGTATGATACAACACAGATATGGGGATAGGGAAATTCATTCAAATTCTAGATACAATACTGCCTAGATATGTTAACATGAATTTAAAATTAAAAATATATACTTTACGTAAATGCAAGGTTATACGACGGATGGCGACAACGACCTTTTAGTGCCATACTGCCATGGTAGACACCATGACGGTCTATGACAGACAAAAAAAAAAAGGTATATATATATATATTATATAATATGATGCAAAAACAGAAAAATAACAAACACACATATTAAAACCAACAATATAACAATCTAAAATTCATGGCATTCATAATCTAGTGATAGTCATCATAAAAAAACATAAATTCTTAACCAACAAAAGGATTAAATAGCCATCAAAACAAATAAACAATGTTAAAAAACAGCAAAACACAATGACAATTCCTAAAACTATTTTGTTTAATCCTCTTCATCCTCATCAATGTCTGCATAATTAATTTCCACATGATGATGTTGCTCATTTGAAAATCCTTCAGCTTCTTCTCCATCTGAATTATGAAATTAACATTTGGCACTATTCCTCCTCCTCACTGCTAGAATCTTCTGATGCCTCAACTTCTTCAACCTTTTTCCCCTTGTTCTTTGAAGCTACTCCTTTGGCTCTTTTAGAAGTATTGGTAGATGTTCCTACTTGCTCCTCTGACGCCTAGTGTTTGCCTAGGCTCATCAAGTCCCGAAGCTTGATAAACTTGTCTCCAAGTAAGGTCATCTCCTCCTTCATGAACCCTCTCATCTTCACCTTCTTCCCCATCCATCTCTCCAATTAGCCACTCATTGCAATCATCAATCCCATTGAGACTAATTGGATCGATATCATCCTTAAGGTTATACCTTTGATGGAGTGCTTGATTATACTTGATAAATACCAAGTCATGTAGTCTTTTATGCTCGAGTCTATTCCTTCCCTTAGTATGAACCTAAAACAATTAAATAAAAAATTACTTAAGGAATAATAAGCAAGACATTGATTGTTGGCTTTAAATAGGAAATTAATTACTTGTGTTAGATAAAATCAAGGGAGATAAAAATGTAATAGAGAAGCTTCATTATCATTTTTGCTTACAAATGAATACACGGGTTTAGAAAGCAACCAGCAGAGAGAGAAAATCATGAGAGGTGGCTGAACAGATGTCCACTAAAAGATTCTGAAGATATCCTAAAGATATAACAAAATGAAAAAAGTAAATAAAGGCTAACAAACAAATATTCCCTTTTTGTTGTAATTTTATATACACTAACAGCCCCCCTCAAACTCAAGGTGGAGGTTTGTCACAAAAACTTCGCACGTTGGGTTTGCCCCTAAGAACTTCAAATTGAGTAGCAGACAGTGGCTTAGTAAGAAGATCAGCCCATTGATCGAGAGATGGTATGTGATAAACCAGAAGTTGCTTGGAGAGAACTTTGTCAGGAACAAAGAACACATCAATCTCCATGTGCTTTGTTTTGCTGTGGAAGACAGGATTGTGGGAAATGGCCACTGCATTTTGATTGTCACAGAGCAAAGTAGGTGCAGATAAGGGAACCTGAAGTTCCTGCAGAAGAGCATGAATCCAAGTTAACTCAGCAGAAGCTTGAGCTATACTGTGATATTCAGCTTCTGTGCTGGACTGAGCAATAACGCGCTGTTTCCTGGACCACCAAGATATCAAATTGGGTCCAAAAAAGATAGCAGAACCAGAAGTGGACCTCCTGTCATCAATATCAGCGGCCCAATGAGCATCACAGAAAGCAGCAAGAGAGATGGGACCGTCTACAACAGCAGGTTGCATATGAAGACCATAAGAGAGTGTGCCTTTTAAATATTTTAGGATTCATTTGACAGCCACCCAGTGAGAGTCAAGAGGATTAGCCATGAATTGACAAACTTTGTTAACAACAGAACTGATTTCAGGTCTTGTGAGTGTAGCATACTGTAAGGCACCAACAACAGATCTAAAAAGAGTAGGATCATGAAAGAAGTCATTCCCAGACCTAGACAATTTGCAGTTAGAGAACATAGGAGAAGGAGCACCATGAGCTTCAGCCATATTGGTTTTAAAGAAAAGATCCCGAATGTACTTGCTTTGAGTCAGAACCAGAGATTTGTCAGGCAAGTATTTAACCTCAATACCTAGAAAGTAATCCAAGCTTCCCAATTGCTTTAAAGAAAAAATGGAGTCAAGTTGATTGGTGATTTGGTGAATGAGGGAAGAAGAGCTGCCAGTGATAATGATGTCATCCACATAAACTAGAATAAAGATGGTATGAGTTTGATGTTTGTACCAAAGCAGAGATGGATTACACTTACTAGCTTGAAAACCAAACTGAGTAAGAGTCAATTTCAGTTTGTCAAACCACTGTCGAGGGGCTTGTTTCAAGCCATAGAGAGCCTTGTTGAGCTTGCAAACCAGAGTCTTATCCCCAGCTTTAAAGCCAGGAGGCTGCACCATGTAAATAGTTTCTTCTAGATTGCCATTCAGAAAGCCTTTATTTACATCAAGCTGAAATAGGTCCCAGTTATTGGTGAGAGCAAGAGTGATAATGATTCGAATAGTTATGGGTTTAATAACAGGAGAAAATGTCTCATGAAAATCAAAACCATGCACTTGATGAAAACCTTTTGCAACCAGCCGAGCTTTGAGCTTATCTATAGAGCCATCAACATTTTCCTTGACTCTGAAAACCCATTTACATCCAACTGCTTTGCGATCAGATGGCAGGGAAACTAAATCCCAAGTATGGTTGAGCATTAAGGCATTGTACTCTTGTTGCATAGCAGAGAACCAATTAGGATCAGCAAGAGCTTGCTTAACATTTTTAGGTTCACTGTGAGCCAAGAACAGAGATGGATGTAACCGAGGATTATGAAAGCCAAATTTAGACCGGGTTTGCATGGGATGGTTATTAATGGTTCTAGGAATACTTTCAGTGTCAGTGGAAGAGGTATGAGAAGAGACATTATGTGAGGAAGACTCATGAGATGAAGGAGACACATTTTGTGAAGAAGACACTGTAGGATTGATTGATACACTTGGATCACCAATTTGAGAAAATAGAGGAGGCTGCTGTGAGAGAACAGGTGAAGTATTGCAAGGAGGAGACAAATCCGGATTGAGAGTGAAGTATTGACATGGAGAGACATTTTGAGTAGGACTTGGCTGAAACAAATCTGTGTAAGGAAACCTATGTTCATTAAAAATGACATCTTTTGAAATGTAAATTCGGCTAGAAGAAGAGAGACATTTATAACCTTTGTGAGAGTTGGAGTATCCCAGAAAAACACACTCCTGGGATCTGAAATGAAGTTTATGACTGGCATATGGTCTTAAGAAAGGAAAACAAGCACAACCGAATGTTCTTAAGAATTTGTAATCAGGTGATTTGTTGAATAAAACAGTGAAAGGAACATCAAAATTTAATGCAGCAGATGGCAATCTATTGATAAGATAAACTGCAGTGGTAAAAGAAAAATCCCAAAATTGTAGAGGTAAGGAGGCATGATGAAGAAGGGTGAAGCCAATTTCAACAATGTTTCTATGTTTCCTTTCAACCACACCATTTTGATGATGTGTGTGGGGACAAATCAGTCTATGTTCTATTCCATTTGTGGCAAGAAACAAAGTAAAATCTTTGTATTCCCCTCCCCAATTAGATTGAACACTTTTAATTTTGGTGTTAAATTGTTGAAAAACAGAGTTTCAGCTTTTGATTTTAAGGGATATATATCCAGGTATATTTAGAGAATGCATCAATTAAGGCATCATAGTAAATATAACCAGAAAAAGATGTAATGTGAGATGGTCCCCACAAATCAGTGAAAATTAAATCCAAGGGAGCAAAATATACAGTTTGAGACGCAGAAGAAGGAAGTCTACGAGACTTTCCAACACAGCAAGATGAGCAAAATTCAGTAACATATGTATTTGATGGGAGAAGGTTACATTGTGTAAGAACAAGCTTAAGAACATGAGAATTAGGATGACCTAGCCTAGTATGCCACATAGTGGAAGAACTAGATACATCAGAACTTTTAATTAAATTGAAATTATCTAAAACTGCAGAGGTTGAGACAGCAGACTGAGAGGGTATTTTAGCTGAAGAAGAGACCAATGCTGAGGGACTTTGGAGCTTTAGATTTGGAAAAGAATAAAGCCCATTAGCACCAACAATGCCTTGAAGAAGAACCTCATTGGTTTCCTGAGATTTGACAAGGCAATGATTAGCATGAAACTCAAAGAAAACACAATTGTCTTTAGCAAACTTACCAACACTCAACAGATTTTTGGTGATAAGGGGAACATGAAGAAGATTAT